ACACAGAAAACCGTTGTGAAGAATAAGACATTAGGACTACTGCTAGTCGTGATAAGCGAAAGGAAGCTCATGAAGGTATTAGTTATGAGCAACCAAAACCAAAAAAACTTTTTGACACAAGGTCTGACGTCTGGAAGCATTTCAAAAGAATAAAGGAAAATCGTGATAAATGCAAGTGCACCTACTACCAGAAGCTCTATATATTCATGCGCAACATCATCCAGGACTTCGAATCTGAAAAACCATCTAGGAATCTGCAAGCATTTTAAGGTATGGAGAGACGATCATAGTCCGACCCAAGGTAAGAGTCAGTCCGTGATAAATCTGAGTGGTGGTCTGAGCATTGCCAAAGTTCTTGAGGATGTTTTCCACGAGGCGACTAATGAGATGCTTGTGATTGGAGAGTTGCCACTTTTTTTTGTTGAATGAGGAGGTTCAACTATACAAGCCTTGATCAAGAATAACAGCAACAAAGCACATTGTTCAGATGTGTGTGGCTAAGAAGAGATCTCTCAAGCAGTTCTTCATAGAATAACAAACAACGAATTTCACTAATAACGGGCATATGTGTAGCTCAGCCTACAGGTAATCGGGTTTGTGTTTTTTTAAAAAAAAAAAATGTTTCCTTTGTGTCATTTTGTTTAGTTTCTAAATGTCCCTTGTACAGGTGCGAGTTATATGGCGGTCACATCATACTTTGTTGATGTATTTTGGAGGCTTAGGAAGTTCATCATTGGGTTCAAGCACATCACATATCACAAAGGTTTGACAATCTCTAATGTACTTTTGGATTTCTTAGCTGAGTGGGGTTTAGAGACAATTTTTTCGGTAACTTTTGACAATGCAACGACTAATTCTTCTGCACTTAGGAGATATCACTCTGAGTTTGGGCTGTTAAATTTCTGAAACGTTTGTGTTAAGTGGGGATTATATGCATGTTAGATGTTGTGATCACATCATAAACTTGATTTTGAAAGATGGGTTAACTAAAATAGATGCTAGTGGGGCTGCCATTTGTAATGCAAAGTTCATTTGAACTGAGAGTTGATTCAGGTAAGCTGAAAAAACAAGTCTACCTTTGGATGTGAAAACCAGATGGAATTCAAATTACACCATGCTATTTAAGGCTCTTAAATACAGAGCAACTTTCAACAAGATGGAGAAAGAGGACAGATTATACCTTGGTTACTTTGCTGAGATCGAGAATGGGATAAAAAGGATTGGTCCTGTTATGGAAAATGATTGGGAAGCTATTTAGAGGTTAGTACGCTTCTTGGTGATATTCTATGACTCAACTTTGGTTGTCTCCGCATCTTCAACTGTTAATGTGTACAAGTGTTATGGGGATATAGTGACAATAGAGAAAGCTCTAATGAACCTCAGAAGTAGTTCAGACTTAGAGTTGAAGAGTAAGGCTAATGGGATGTTCATGAAGTTTGATAAGTATTGGGATGGTATGAAAGATTTTAATAAGATTTTGATTATAGCTTCAGTATTTGATCCTAGGAAGAAGATGGATTTGGCTGATATGTGTTTTGAGAGGTTATATGGTAAAAAAAGCACAAGAGCTGCATCAGTTAACTGTTATTGCTCTGCGTGCAATGTTTGACGAGTATACTGTTAGATATACTCAAAAACTGCCAAACACTCAGACGCAATCCTCTCAATCCAATCAAACACACTCTTCAGAGCTTTGCGTGAAATGTTTGACGAGTATACTTTTTCCCATTATTTACATGTACAGAATCTGATATCCAACCAATCAAGCTGAATGATTCTCATCTTCTCAACTTTAAATCTCAGCTTTATGTAAGTAATATATGAATCATTGTTTGTTTCATTCTTTGTCTCTAAATATACATAATTTGGTTTGTTTTTTTTTTTGGGTTTAGGTATCAGATGCATTGTTTGAAGTTTGGACTTTGGCATGATGCGAGTCAAATACATGTTTGTTTCTTTGCCTTAGTACTTTTTTTTTTATAAAACTCCCATATCATTCAAAGACATGTTTGTTTGATCTTTGTTATGGTTTATGCATGTTTGGAAGTTTGGATTGAACTCTTCTTTTATATTTGTGTTAGACATATTTTGTTTAGATGAATGAATGATGATATTGTTAGAAGTTCATGTTTGCATGTTTGCAAATGGTACTATCAAATAGTTTGGTTATTTTTGAATAATTTGGTTAGTTTTTCAGATAGTTTGGTTTTTTTGGTTTTTTTTGTTTTTAATGTATTCGATTACAAAATATCCAAAAATCAACAACCGATTCTTTTGGATTAATATCGGATCCAGAAATAAAATCCGAACCAATCCGAAACCGAAATAATCTGATCCAATCCGATCCAAAATATTTTAAATACCTGAATGGATATTATATCCAATATCCGACAACCCGAAGATCCGAATAAATAAGTTCAGTTCAGATATTCGAACTCCCAGGACTAGATCTCAGTTTAAAGAACTTTTACTTGCGTGTTCTATGAAATGAAATTTGAAAAAACACACAATTGCCATATGCACAAATAGACAGATAATACAACCAATTTTGTTTTGTTTTGGTAAAGAGGCCTAAAATCTATTATATAACTAGAGAGTTTTTTTTAAAAAAAAAATCTAGAGTGTACACATCAGCCAAAACAACTAAAACTAAAATTAATGTCTTAAATAATTCATACACTTTGAAATACTATTATATGATTTTTTTTTAAAAAAACACTAACACTATAATTACTGATTTAATTTATTCACACACTTTTTATAATTAATATTTTTCATTAAGAAAAATAAGAGTAAAAACTGAAGACAAAAGTTAGAGAAAACAACGATGATAAAAAATTTAAAAGATTATAAATTTAATTAAAAAATAGGAGAAAGAAATCAAAATATAAAGAAGAGGACGCAAATAGCAACAAAGTAAAAGAAGAAGAATACATATACTAGATAAATAAAAATAAGAAATGAAACAAAAAGATGACGAAAAACCGAAGAAAAAGTAGAAGAAGAAGAAGAAGAAGTAGAAGAAGAAAATAAAGAAAAAGAAAAATAAAGAAAAGGAAGAAGAAGAACACAAAGCTGATGAAAAAAATTTTTAGAAAAATATTAACTAGAAGAGATTTTTGTATTGTGGGATGTCGACAGTACTAGGCCAACGAAAGATTGTGACTTCCTTCAACTTGTGAAAAATATTGAAATTAGTCTGCATAAACTTAATGATGATCTTAAGGTTTCCAGTGGATTGACTTTTGGAAATATCTCATTTTCAATAAAGTTAGCGCAGTTATCCAATCACACTCTATTAGAAGATTTTGGATTCTATGTTTATCACATTGACAAAAGAATCATGAATTGTGCCTGATATCGTCATAACTTCTTATATAGTTCAGATCCACGAGCCAAAATTCGAATAAATACAAGAGTGACATGCCACATATTCTTTTGAAGACCATCATGATTCTATAGGCCATTGATGCCAAATTAGCAAGAAAAGCTTCCATAAAGTTTTTAATCATAACTTCTGATCCTGGTTTTTCTACCAGGATAACTTCAATGAATTAACCTCAATGAATTCGAGAATGCATGAAGTCTATGTTGCTTTTAAGCAAGGAGCAGATCAAGTTCTTAAAGACATTGCAAAACGAGCTTGGTTGTCATCCGATAGCCAGCTTGAAGTCTGAATCACGATGGATCAAAATTTGTGCACATATCATTTTGTTTCTTGCTTTTATTCTTTCAAATTTCAAGTCTGGATATTTGAAAAATAACAAAAATGAGTGTGAAGCAAATAAATCTAAAACATTATACAGAGAAAATAAAATTCTGAATTACATGCATAATCGAAAGGAAATTCGATAATTTTTTAAAGAAGTTTATGTGTTTTGGTGGTGTCTAACAACATACAGTAGAAACTCTATAAATTAATACTCGATAAATTAATAAACACTATAAATTAATAATTTTTCATAGTCCCGAGTTGGACCAGTTCAAAATATGATACAATTCGATAAGATAATAAAATAATAACTTTAACAAAATTTCTATGTAAATATATGGTCCCATTAATATCATAAATTAATAATTACCATAAAAACATCTGATTTAAACATATACATGAGATAATCTACTAAAGTACGAGTATCGTGATGCTTTTAATTCATTTTAAATTAATTTTTTTGAAATTCATCTTAAATTTCAGAAAGAACTTTTTAAAAATTAAGAAAATATAAGAAATATTTTTTTTCTTTGAAAATTATAAAATTAATAACTCTATAAATTAATAAAATATCAAAGTCCCAACATTATTAATTTATAGAGTTTTTACTGTACATCATATCGTAATTTTGAGATATGGAAAGTTAGGAGAGTTTAAATATTTTCATTGATGCAAAATAAAATAATGAGAGTATCCAGGTGTATGAGAGACTCAAATAACGTTTGTATAGTGATTTCGATATTTTTTGTATAGTTTCATTGATGCAAAACACATAAACTATAACGTTTGTATAGTTTATAATTTTTTTGTAAAGTAATGCTCTGGCAAAGACAGTTGAGTATAATCTACTAAAAAGTGATTAACCGATCACTTCAGCGAAAGAACTTTTACATATGATTCAAAAACTAGGAACAAATCAAAAATAAATTTAGAAGTTACAAAGCATATTAATTAGTTAGATAAATCATAAAGATTAGGAGAATTTGATCGTCAAACAACTATACGTTGCACTCGATATCCCCACATCTTTCGATAAAGGTTTCCTCTTCTCTCATTTTCGCTAAATGTTGAAGGCTTAGCCATTCGGATGTCAATTCAGTATAATTTATCATATATTTCTATTTGAAATCATTCATGCATTTGTTTAGATCGTAGCCGTTGATTTGAGAAAACACAAAGTGTAAATGTTTTTAACCGTCCGATGAGGGATGTCTGTAACCCTTTCGTTTGCCAGAACTACACAACTTCGATAATCCGCTAATTACAAACAAAACACACACACACACAAACAAAAAGTCTGGCCAAGCGAAGAAGAAGAGATAATCCACAACGACAACGATGGTGAAAGTTTTGACCTACTTTGGAATGGCATTGGCTGCTTTCGCCTTCTGGCAATCTATGGACAAAGTTGATGTCTGGATCGCTCTTCATCAAGACGAAAAGGTTTGATATCTGACACTTATAATTTAGTCATAATTTTGGCATCAAATTGTATGAATTTCTTCGAATTCAAGTTAATGTAATTGAGGTCAAACCCTAGACTATCGAATTGATCGCATTTCTGGCTTATAAAAATATGGTTCTTTGGTTCGTTTCCCTAATTGGAAGAACCATTTCCCTCGATATAAAAGGCATTTGCACTTGATTAAGTAGTGATAAAGTATACGAAACAGTTCACTGATGTGTTCTTCTTAGATATAAGTAGCTAATCTGATTACAACCCCGTATTTGTGAGCAGCAAGAAAGAATGGAGAAAGAAGCCGAGGTGAAGCGGGTTAGAGCAGAGCTTTTGCGGAAGGCTAGAGAGGAGTGGTCTCTTGCATGATCGTCGTCAGTTATGTTTATCATTATCAACTTACTATTCCTTCACATTTTTTTAAAAACTCTGGACCAAAATGGAGTTTGTATAGAACAATAATAACATATATGCTTTTGAATGTGGGATGATGATGATTAATGGCTTTCTTTGTTGTTCTAAACTAATGAAATACTATTTACTTTCTTGTGTTTTTCTTAGTCTTTTAAACTTCACTCATTCATAATTTCATATCCAATAAAGTTGCAACACAAGAGACAAGATTATCTTTTAAGTTCAAAATCATAATTCATCGGTTGTCTTGTGTAGTTTTTAAGCCCTTAGGTTTGTGAATTTCTTCTTTGTTGGTATTTTGTTTTGTTGATCTCCTTCTCTAACAGGTTACTGCTGCTCTTTCACACACCAGTTTGGAGTCTTGGAATGATGTCACGAAGAGCAATGAGTGGACAGGTGAGAGAAGTTATTTCTGTGTAGCCAATGTTTAAGACTAAGTGAATGCTGCTTTGATCTGAAAACTGACTTGACTGATTTGATTAACGGGCAAGATCATTCGGTATGAAGAGTCTGCATTACATTGGAAAAATTCCAAAACCCTTACCATCAAAGCTGTCTCCATTATCATTTGAATACACATCTTTGTGAAACCGAAGTTAACGAAACACAGTTTAAGAACTCAAAGTTGATAGATACAAAATGGTTATACAGAGTAGAGTCAGGGTCAAGCCATTGAACTCTTTAAGCATCAATTTGCAATATCATAAAGAAGGAAAATACTTGTTAAGATTGAAAGGCAAAGAGTAAAACTCTTCACTTCTAGAATCCGATTTAAACGACATGAAACGGTCCCACCAAAACATCCCTCGGTCTTTCCTCGTCGCACTGTCTTTAGATGTCAATGTTACATCAAGAAAGAATGCTAATATCCCTGCTACAAAGGCTTCAGAAGAGAATGGAACATTGATCATATCATTGAACTGTGAAGAGCACAAAGAACACAAATCAGCAATATTACTATAACTATAAGCATGAGGATATCTATAAAAACAAATTATGTCTGTTTGTTTTTTTACCCATCTTGCTCTTGTGTGAACTGGTCCATACTTGTTAACAGCTGTATACTCGTTGAAGTATTGTGGTATTGATAAACCCATGAATACTGAGAATCCGAGAATAAATTTTGTTCTGAAGCTGTTTAGATTGCAGAACTGAAGTAAGCTTAGACCACCAGAACCTGCAAGTTTTATTGGTTTGGACTTTAGAGATGCTCATTCACAGTTTCAAAAAGAAAGGCGTTTCAAGAAACATACCGACATACGCAAAGAACAGGCAATGCAATGCTGCAATGATAGGAGCTGGAATGGAAGCAAATACGGCTCCAAATTTTCCAAGAATCGAGAAAAAGATCATGAAACCTGCTGATATTTGAACTACCCTTCTGCTACCAACGCGTGTTAGCGCTAACAAACCGGCGTTTTCTCTGCAAAAACATCAAAATAACCATTTTATTTTGCAGTAAAGACATGTTTTCAGGTCAAAATACTCTGTTTCTTTTTTTTTTTTTTTTTTTTTTAAGAAACCGGGCTTACACCGATACAGATGCTCCATTTCCTGCTCCAAATAGTCCACAGAGAAGAACTCCAACACCCTATACATAAAATGCATTTGCTTAAATATACAATGTAAGAGCACTTATGAGAAATGAAATTTGAGGTCATTAATGTTTTACAAACTTACCTGCCAACCAATTCCACGGCTGAGAACAGACGGTGGGGGAGGAGTTGCACTTGCAAACCTCGAAACAGCAATGTAAGTCCCTGTGGACTGTTTCCATGAATCACAAATGAATTAAGAACATGAACATGCACAATGAACTAAGTTTCATAGCGAAACAAATGACTTCTAACCTCAACAAGAGAAACAAATGAAACAGCCATCATAGCGAAAGCTTCACCTGCATGAAATGTTGGAGCTCCCCATTGGAAAGGGTAAGGCACTCTGATCCTGGTTTCATCAAGAACCAGTCCAAGTTTTATACAAAATTTTATCCTAATATCACTAGAAAATGCAGAAAGATAAAGTGATAATTTCATTTACCATGGAGCACCACCAATGAGGCCAGAACGGTCTGTTCTGCAGCTTGTCTGAGTGTTTCTTCCTGTGTTCTTATAGGCTCCACCAATGGTGAGAAAATGTGCGTAAATCCAAACGATAACAACAGAGAAAATCACAGCAAATCGATGGAAAACATGTCTTTCTCCTCGCATGAGATGAGGAATGTACTGAAGAAAGACACCAAAATGGTTAAGAAATCTCTTTTGAAACAACGAGAAGAGCGTTTTGCAGAGATCTAACCTGTGAGAATATGAGTAGAAGGATAATTTCAGGCAGTCCAATCTCAACGCATTTGGCAAGCTGCAACAGAAAGAACAAGCTGATCAGTACTCAAGAAAATTTCATATAACAGCAAGAGAGATCAACTCACCAGAGGGAAACCATGCTCATAAAGCCCTAAACCAGCTAGTGCAACCAGAGGAACTGCAGAGAGAGGACTCAAGAGCCTAGAAGAAAGAAACAACAATCATCAAGAAGTAGAAGAAGAGAATCATATAGTTTTATATGATTGTTCTTGATTGTCAAGAATCATCTTTAGCTAACCTAACTACATTGCGCCAAAGGCCACTAAAGCCAACAACGATCTGAAGAATCGAGGCAACGATAAGAGCACCTTGGATTCCACGCATGATCCTCTTAAATTTCTGCCAATTATTCTCTCAATTAATGTCAAAATCTTACAAAGAACCGATAAAGCCTCAGTTTTTTTTTTCCACTAACCTCTTGAGGATCGAGAATGTCGCTGTACCGACCAGCTAAGATGATCGAAAGCGTGGTCGGTACATAAGAGTAAGAAGCTCCAATAACCGCGGGAAGACGCGTCCCAAAGAAGCTCTGGCACAGAGTGTTTAGTCCAGAAACAAAAAGCAACGTCTGAATCATCTTTGCCTTCTCTTCCTACAACAAATGAATACAAAATCCAAAGTCAACATTTTTCTTAATAAAAAACAGAGCTTTTTACCCAAAAAAAAACAGAGCTTTTTCAAAATGTTCATGGGAATGATTATTTTTGAAAAAGAAAGACTTACGTTTCCTCCACCCATTTGTGGAACTAACGATGTTGGGATCAGAACCGTTGTTCCAAGCATCACTAAGTAATGCTGAAAGCCCAGAAGTATCGCCTCCGCTGATCCGAAAAAACGGTTAAAAAAGAATGATCTTTAGGTGCTATATAACAAATGACAATGCACAAATAATGATGATGAGAGATGTAAAATTTGGAGAGAAGAGGGTTTACGCCAAGGAGGAGGACTAGTGATGCAATAAGAGATAGAAGAAAGTTGATCTTTCACCGGATGTGGTTGAAGCTCATCTTGTTTTGGCGGCGGCGCTGCTCCTCCTCCTTCACCACCACCGGCCATTATCTTTCTCTTTTGATGAAAACCAATAGCAACTCAAGAGAGACAGAAAGTTTGAAGCTTTTTTTTTTTGCTGGAATCTTCAAGAACTTGTTTTTGTAGAAGCCTAGAAAGAGAAAATGTAAACCTAAACACCGAAAGTGCCGGAAATGTTGTTAAAATGCTGGGAAAGGGAAAAAAGGGTTTGGGAATGGAGAGTGAGAAAGTGAAAGAAGACGAAGATGATGAAGTTAGAAAAGAGAAAGACATTTGTCGGGGAATATAAGTAAGAAACCGTCAATAAAAGTAACAAAACGTCAAAAAGGTGGATTTTGCGCGTTTTCGTTAAGACCTTTGAGAAGAAAGAACCACTTGGAGGACACGGAAACCATTATAAAAAAAGAAGAAGATTGAAATGTGAAGAGGAAGAGGAAAAGAGGCCATTTAAACTTACTTTCAAGTTTAGCGAATTTAATTATAGAAACCAACCTGTGGTGGAATTATTATCTCAATGTATATGATGCATATTTCTGCTTGTATAATAACTTTTTGTAAAAGTTTCTGTAATGATTTTGTAATCTCGTTTTGATATCAATGAAATTATTTTGAATATCTAGATGTTTTAAAAAAAATTGGGAGTAGAAAAAAACACTTGTTTCTCACACCTTTACCTTTTCTAGGATTACGTAAAGCCGAAGCAATCCCTAGACGCATCTCCCCACTTCCACCTTTTATAACTCCGTTAAGTTGTTTTTTGTATTACTCTACTGCTATTATAACTATGAAATGTTCGAATAATCTTTCTTAAAGACATACTATAAATTTTCTAAATTCGAACCATAATAATGGGGTTATCATTTTTGGGGATGTTTTTTTTATACGTAAAATTCTGCCTTAGTTCGACATTTTACTTACACCAGTCACCACGACCTTTTTTGGTCAACCCACGTACCAGTCACCTGTCAGGCTGTCACTACCAGTTTAAAATTTGAAATTTTAAGATTAACATTGTTAAACATAAGGGTCATATTCCATGTATCTACTTTTTATGTTTTTTTGATAAACCCTATCAGTTGATCTAGTTAGCTCCTGTAAGAATGCATTGAATTGTTACATTGTGGACTGATTTTCCTGATTCAAAGGTTCAACAGACACCATGAATACCGAACAAGCTCGAATCAACGGGCCATGAGATCCATGAAATCCAATGAATTATCACATTGTCTATCCCAAGTTTGAATGCTTTTCGACTAATGCCAAAGAGTAGTCGGATTATCTATTACCGAACTACCAGGTAAACTGCATGAGCCTTTGACCCAAACCTAAGCTGCCTAAATGAGCGTGTTTTTGTTTCTCATGAAAATTGAAACTGGGTGGAATGGAGTAACATCCACACAGCCCAAAAATCACTCGATCACACCCACTTGGGTCTGGGATGGGACAATACTATAGTTTTACCATAACAAAATTTTAAGTTAATAGCTCTAGAAATATATTTGCAGTAACAGCTATAACCTATAAAGTTTATCATCCTAATTATCTAACCGATACTAATGTAACAAACTAAAAACTTTTTTTTTTTTTTTTTTTTAACAAAGCCGGTTTCTAAGACAATTAATCTTTTGGGCAATTGTATTTATAGGACAAAAAATATAGTATTGACCCCTTAGTATTTTTTTTTTAAATTGTACCACTTTGGATTTATATATCATTTTTAAATAATTATGAAATATTAAAAATACTTTTAAAATCTAAAAAAATTGGGAAAATTCTGAAAAGGAAAAACAAATACATTTTCTACTACTTTTTTGGAAACAAAATTTTTAAAAGAATTTTTTACCAATGTTCTACAAATTAATAGAAAGCATATTCAATAAATCTATAAATTTATAGAATATATTATCTACTATTTCATTAGGTTTCTACGAAATATATAGAATTTGTTATCTACAGTTTTCTCTATATTCTACAAAGTTATGAAACTGTATTCTATAACATGTTCATTTTTCTACAACTTAGTAGAATTCTATTTCTATAATAAGTTCTTCGTTCTACATTTTAGTAGAACTCTATTTCTATAGTAAACTTTTTGTTCTACAATTATAGAATACTAATTCTAACAAATCTAGAGAATCTATTTTTTCCTTTTCAAATTATCTATTTTCCAAATTTTTTTTTTTTAGTTTTTTTTAAGGAAATTTCTTTTGGCGATATTTTTTCCTTGTTCTCCACTTTTTCTTTCTCCTTCAACACTCCTCTTTTCACGTTTTTTCACAGTTTTTAAGTCTTCTGTTTTTTTTTTGCTAATTACCTTAAAATATGTTACATATCTATGTAACATGTGGTCTCTGGAATTCGGATTTGAAGAAAGAGTGGAATTTTATTGTTGATGAAGAGAAAGGAGGAAGAATGATAACTCTGGAAAAGTACCAGTTTTGAGGAGATAAAATTGATGGTATTGGAGGACTACGGAATCGTCGGTCAGCACTTTCAGATCAGCACTTTCAGAGGCAGAGTCTAGAGACTGTATTTGTTCTTTGAGACTGATATCATCTTCTATGTTATCTAGGTTATCATTGTCTTGTTCATCCGAACTAGAATCATGATTCCCTTTGATAGAAGATATAATTGAGTGAAAATACTCGGAATCCCTTTTTTTGTTTTTCTCTAAGAGTTTTGAGATCATTTTTTACCTCTTTTATTTCCATCCTAAGATCTTGAATTGTTGTTTTAGAACTATCTTTCTTTCTTTTGTTAAGGATTGTGGTTAGATCATACGATGATTTTGAAGATGTTGGATTATGAGGCTTTGATGTGTTTTCAGAGATTTTTATTTCTTTTTCGTTAAGGGAAGAAAGGATTGTTTCTAAAAAATTTTTGTTTGGTCTGAGGATTTGAAATGGAATTCAAGATTTCAATCTGAAATTCTTGATCTTTTGTAAGTACATTTATTTTATTTTCATCGGATTCAGAGCCGGATGATGAGTTTTTTAGCTCATCAACTTGTAGGGCTTTTTCAGAAGATAATGATGAATCAGAATCATTACTCGATGATGATGAATGATCTAGCAAGAGATTTGATATTTTACTCGAAAGTTCTTCCCCAAGGCCGAGTTCTTGGATTTTTCTGTTAAAACGACAGAATTTTGAAGTGTGACCCTTTTTATTACATTTGAAGCAAGTGAGATTTTTGTAGAATGGTTTAGAGTTTGTTATTTCTTTTGGAGTAAATCTCTTACGAGGTTTTTGCCAGGAATTTTCGTGAGATTTATGATTTCTATAGGTTTTAGAGTATTTTCTAGGCTTATTTTTAGAGTAGTAAGAATTACTGCAATCTCCTATGCAGGACTTACTATTTTTGCTGGAACCAATTTCGAATTGTCTACAAAATGAGCCTAATTCTACTTTTGTTCTTTTGAGTTCCCATTTAAGATGTTTCTGGAGTTTTAGATCTTGACAGATCTTAAGACCTTCTTGTTGAACAATACTGATCAATTCTCCATAAGTGAAATTATCATAATCAATTATTTGAGTTCCCGTGGAATCTCTAATTTTATTTCTAACTTTTTCTCCTAGAAGGGTTGGAAGTCCTGCGAGGAATTTTTCTTTCCAAAAAGGTTGGTTTGAATCTTGGCGGAGTAAAACCTTAGTAAGGAAAGTGTTTTTGTACCATTGGAAATCACTAAGCCTTTTGCATTTAAGGTTTGAAAGGAGTTCAGCGTTCTTATCCCTAAGTACTGAGGGATCTCCTATAAAATGCAAGGTTATGGCTATAACTAAGGTGGCTACAGCATCTTGTTGGGGATTTCCAAAATTATCTAGTATGGGCACGTTATCCTCATCTGTTTTGACGGCATCTAGAATTTCTGAGCGTTGCTGATTGTTTAGGTAGTTATCCCACCATCCTTTAAGCTGGCCTGAAAACCCAGCAATTAGGAGCTCAGCTACGGTTCTATCTTCATTTCCTACTTGAGTTCTATAGGCGTTTGCGGCCATAGTCATCTTTTGTAGGAAATTTAAGATATTGTACTCAGATATTCCATCGATATTCCAGTCATAAACTGAAGATGAATTGAACCTAGATTGTTCTATTGTCTGGATTTGTCCTAAGTCAGGGGCAGAGATTATTTGATGATCTTGATGGTTTTCCCGACCAAGACGGTTAATCTCAGGGGTTGAATTTTGCTCCGAGGTTTCACTAGAATAGGATTCATTTGCTAGAGTATTTATCTGGGCTTTAGAAGTAGGAGTATCAGGAATGTCGAATTCCTGAGGCGTGCTATTTTCTCCTATGTCTATCTTACTTAGCTGGCTTTGAAGAGCACGAATGAATTCTTTATTCATCTCTTGGTAGGTTTTGACACTAGAGCTTGAAATTTGGAAATGTTTGAATATGGGTTTTTTTGTTTTCTTTTCAGAGGTAGAATCTATTGAAGTGATATGTTGATTTTGAATCAATTTTTCGATTCTATCAAGCTGTTTGCCTATCGTTCCAAAATTCGTATTTGAAAAATTATTTTGGACGATGATATTTTTTATATTAGTCTTATCATCATCTTGGGGACGTTTAAAAGGAATCGTTTCAATTGGTGTTCCCAATAATTCAAGCTTGATTCCCTGTTGAGGGGGGTGATTGGAACGGATAATTTTTCCATTGGCAAGGGTTTCCCATTCAGGGGTTTTATTGCGAGTGGTGATAGGATTCGCAGTTTTAGAAAAAGGAAAATTGATACTATTTTTGAATGCATAGTATTCAAACCAATTGAAAAATAAAATTTGTACTTTATGTTTATAGAGATATTTGTAAAACTCTTCTTGGATTAAATTATTAATTATCTATAAATTAATAATTAATAATTTATAGAAAAAATTGATTTACGCATATAATTTTCTACAAATTTATTTAGAATAATATTATATTTTAAATTTTTTAACAAATCTCATAGTATAAATTATAATTAACAATCATAACTATCGCAATAAAATAGTTTTAACACCATATTGGGATTGTCCATGTAAAATATACATGTTCATAAGTTAAAAATTTATTAAAAAATCATGGCTACTATCAATATTATTGATGATAAAATTGAAAATAACACTACAATACATTTAAAAATATTTACATGTAAGAAAATCAATTATCACATCTAAAAATCATCATAAATTTTGAATGTATATAGTAAAACAGCAATAAGAGCTACTGATATAATAATTAGAGAGATGAGAATCAATGAAATTTCAACTTTAAATAAAAACAAACACATTAGTCATATTTTAAAATATTATATTTACATATATTTGCATAAATTTATATAATTATTAATTTATGTTTTTGTTGGGACCGTATATTTACATAAAGGTTTCAAAAAATATTATTATCTTATTATCTTATCGAATTTGATGGATTTTTACATTGGCCCGACTTGAGACCAACAAAATTTATTAATTTATAGTGATTATTAATTTATCGAGTATTAATTTATAGAGGTTCCACTGTATTTGATAATGTCCTCGTCACACATGAAGTGCTCCATTTCCTAAAAACATCAAAAACAGAGGAAAAGTGTGCAATGGCCATTAAAACAGATATGAGTAAGGCTTATGACAGATTGGAATAGGATTTTATAAAAGGAGTTCTTGAGAATTTGAGATTTCATGAGAAATGGGTTCGGTGGGTAACTCAATGCATATCTACAGTCTCCTTTACCTTTCTGCTAAATGGAGCCCCAAGAGGATATATCAAACCAAGCAGGGGAATAAGACAAGGAGACCCCCTCTCCCCTTACTTATTTATCCTATGCAGTGCGATTCTCTAAGGCTTGTGCTGTAAAACTCAGGATTCAGGCAAACTACACGGGGTTAAAGTGGCTAAAGGGTGCCCGAGAATTAATCATCTGCTCTTTGCATATGATAAAATGTTTATATGCACAGCAAATGAGAAAAACTGCAGGGCCCTACACCAAATTCTATCAGACTATGAAGCAGCATCTAGACAACTGATCAACTACCAAAAATCATATATCACCGTCAATGAGAAAATCAAGCAGCTGCTACATATAGAAGTTGAAGGAGGAGTAGGAAAGTACATGGGTCTTCCAGAACACTTCAGAAGAAAGAAAAATGACTTATTTGCATCCATAGTTGATCGCATAATCCAAAAATCTGCAAGTTGGGCATCTAGGATGCTTTCTAGAGCTGGTAAACTTGTAATGTTGAAGAGTGTTGTGACCTTGATGCCATCATATGCAATGACATGCTTTAAATTGCCAGTATCCTTATGTAAACAAATCCAGTCGATCCTTATACGCTTTTGGTGGGACTCATCACCTAACAAAAGGAAAACTAGCTAGATATCATGGAAAAGATGGCAAAACCAAAACAATTTGGAGGCTTGGGATTTCGAGACATATCTGATTTCAATGATGCACTCTTGGCAAAAATTAGCTGGAGGCTGCTAACAAAGTCAAACTGTCTCTTGGGAAGAATCCTCAAAGGAAAATACTTCTCAGAAACCTCCATCTTGGACTGTACAATTCCCTCTGTGTGCTCCCACGGCTGGAAAAGCATAATAGCAGAAAGGGACCTGCTTCTTAAACAATTAGGCTGGGCAGTAGGAAATGGTGGATCAATCAAGATTTGGGATGATCCTTGGGTTTCGTCTCAGGAGTTATTAAGACCTTTTGGTTCCCAGCCGGAAGCTTTCCAAGAGTTTAGTGAAGGATCTAATGAAAGATAACTCTTCTTAGTGGGACATGGAAAAAATAGAAGTAATCCTCCCACGCTATAAGCACCTTATCCTGGGCATCAAACCAAGCAGACTGAGGTGTGCAGACCAGAGGATTTGGCTCAAAAATGCAAATGGTGAGTATTCAACCAAATCAGGGTACCTAGTTGCTGCGGAGGATTTTGGAACGACTGAGACCAGTGTGAACTCACAGTGGTGAACTGGAATGAGCAAGTCTGGAATCTTCACACTGCTCCAAAGGTAAAGCTTTTTGTTTAGAAAGCCCTTCATCGAGCCCTTCCAGTGGGAGATCAGCTAGCCGTCCGTCAAATCGTGAATGATGCTCATTGCTGTAGATGCAATGAAACAGAATCAAGTGCCACTATGCAATAGAAGTTTGGAAAAAGGTACCTTAAACACAGACGTTCAATCCGGAAGATGTCGAAGATCTAAACTCGGGGCTCATGGCACTTAATCGATTGACCACACTTCCGCCAGTAGGTCTGGAAAGTGGTCGACTTCACCCTTGGGTTCTTTGGAATATATAGACCTCAAGGAATCAAAAGTTTTTCAATGCGAGAAACTTCACCTCGGAGGAGACAACATCAAAAAGTATATGTGATGCTCGGGAATGGATGCTGGCGCAGGAAACAATCTTCTCAGGAAAACCCCGAATGAATTCACCTTGGATCCAAGCCCTCCAGACGAGATCGGGATCAACTATCTGCTTCATAGATGCAGCGTGGAGCAAGGACTCGCAAGCGACTGGGTTGGCTGAAGCTATGGCTCTGCGTTGGATCTGCTCTTATGGCTGAAGCTATGGCTCTCCGTGAAGCAATCTTAACAGCAAAAGAGGCAAGAATCAATAATCGATAGTCCAATCGGATGCGCAAACTCTGATCAGAGCAATCAACTCGAATCAGCAGATTTCAGAAATCCATGGCATTTTATCGGACATAGCCATCCTTTTGGCTGATTTTGAATCTATTTTATTTAAATATATCCCTAGAGCTGCTAATGTCAAGCAGAATCACTTGCCAAACAGGTCCTTTGTACCCCCTTTGTAAATGCTTAATCTCCTATAAGGAAAGTTTTGGAACAAAAAAAAAGGGAAGATTTTAGCACAAATTTATATGATTATTACTAGAATAGCTCTAATTTTATTTAAATTACTGGAAAATTTTATCTGTCTATTTTACCCTTTTTTCTTTGTTACGAAAAAATTAATTACAGAAATGTCATTATAATTTATTTTTAAATGATAAAAATTTAATATTTACGAAATTGCCATTCAAATTTCGCAGAAAATCTCTAAAGTTATGTGAAAAATCTGTATCAGTAATGGTGACAGATTTATGATTTTGTATAGATTTATCTTTAATAGCTGATTTTTTTATAGAGTTATTTGAATGACCGACTTTTTTAAAAGTAAGTTTTTGGTATGACTCTACAGATTTAATTTTTTCTACAGTTTTTTAAAGGTGTGGTCGACTTATTCTACAGATTTATTGTAATGATACAACAGACTTAATTACTATGACCGATTTTTTATAAAGACTTTTTGCAATGACAGATTTATAGTACATGTTTGTTTTCTCTAGCAGATTAGTAAAATTATGTGTTAGCAGATTTGTATAACACGATGTCTTTGATGACAAATTTATGATTAATTTCACCTGACAAAATTACTTATTAAACTAGCATCGCTGTGGTAACAGATTTTTTTATGTGATAACAGACTTTATTAATTTGTCTAAAATTCATTTGTTGATGGCAGTTTTAAATCCGTATGAAATGACAGTTTTATATCTTTTCTGCATGACAGGTTATTTCCGGCTTAAATACTCTTATTGTAACAGATTTACAACAGGTTAGTCATTACAGATTTTATATCACAAATGTGTTGGAAATTGTGGCAGAGTTTAATTATATTAAATACCAATTAAACCTTAGAAAATATTTATGTGACCTCCTTTTATTTTCAAGCCGCCTCTAACGTAAATTGGTCACGATCACACCCAAACTAAATTTTTTCTTATTTGAGTTCATAGTAATCTGTTTAATTTCTAGTCTATGGCACAAATAAATCTTATTTGTGGTATATAGTTTTTTGAGAAAAATAGGTGGCTTTTTGATGTTGATCACAAAAGAGAATGTAAAATCATGACAGAAAAGGCAAATGGTAATACCAAATACGAAGATTTCATTCAAATGGTAATTGAAGATTTCATTCAAATGACAGCAAATGGTAATACCAATTAGTGTCCATATCTCATAAGGTTTTTCAATGACCAATTGATGTGTTAGCAAGTAATGGACAACACCAGCAGACCATGTGTAGTCTACCTCCTTAAGCTTAGCAATTACTCCAACGGAAGAAGTTTTTAACGCATCCCACACATCTGCTCCAACTCCTATTTCAACCATTTTTAAATTGGAGAGATAGCAATTGTGGTTCATGCTTCTTAACTGACTAGGTGCTTTTCCTTCAGCAAAAAGTAGTGGAGGGTATCTCTTCTTAACACTTGATGAGGCCATAACTAGTAATAAAAAACCGTAATAAGAGAAGCTGGGTTAAAAATTCTATAAGTTCATATAGGGAGAATAAATTAAGAATCCTAATACTAATACTAACGAAGTGAAGACGATGTGAAAACTAACAGAAGAGATAATTTTAATAATCCTAATAATATTTAAAATCCTAATACTAACAACGACAAGAATGAACTAAGAATTAAAATTCTCTCAATTAGTTTTTACTTTAGATTTCAGTGGGGATGACTTTGAAAAGGTGCTAACAGATCAGAACTTATCGTGATTACTTTTTGATATGTGAACTGAACAATCAAACTAAAAATTCACACTAATCAGAAGAAGATAAGGAAAAGGAAGGCTGAGGTTCGACCTGAACTTTGCACTCTGCAATTTGGTGAAGACAACACAAAATTGGGTGAAGACGACAAGAAATTTGGTGAAGAGAACACTAGATAATAAGCGGCAACTGCTCGACCAGTGAATCAGAGAAGGAGAAACCACGGCGTGAGGAGAGCAGTCAACGGTAAGGCGATTTTCCGGCGCCGTTGAAACCGAAAAATGTTAATGGCGGTGACTGTGTAGATTTTTTTTACCCGATAAGTATTAGAGTTTTTTACCTTTTGAGTTTGTGTTTATTTTTTTAATAATAATTTATTAATCATATTTACATAATTCAAATTTCAAATATTTAAACTGATAAATATAATGGTATAGCTGTTATTATTAGGAACTACATAGGGTATTCAGCCCTTTGATTAAATATATATGCTATTCTAGTAAAATTTTTTTTGGGGTGTTAATCTAGTAATAACTGGATGAATTAGTGCTAATCTGAGTAATTTCTCAAAAAAAAAGACCAGTTCAGAATTAGTCGATTTTTTTTCCACAAAGAAAATTGTAAATGTTTGTGTATATGTCTCAATACCGCTTCTACTCAGGCTCGGGTCTGTATATATGTTGGTAAGTTGGGACGGTATTTAACATGATTGTATTTAACAGTCTGCATCCAGTTTACTCATGGATAATGCTTCAGAAATTTGTCATTATTCCGTCAATCTGTCAGAAATCGATCGTGGCTTCAAAAATTTCTTAGTATGCTTAAAAGACTCCTATTTCAGTAATGAATATTTACAGTTTTGCAAAAAAATGCTTAAAAACTCGTGAGTATTTTGTAAATTTGTCAGAAAACAAAATTTGTTAGAAATCGTCCGTTATATTAGCTTTAAATGCACTCATTGGCTAGGCCACTAAAGACAACAAAAAAATCTTCAAATAGGAATTAAATAATTTAAATGTGTGCGATTTTCTTGATAAATGTATACTTCACGGAATCTAGAGATAAACGAAATTACAACGGAAGACATGGAAAGTCTAATCCAATTTATGCACAAACCAATTATGCGAAATTTCTGCTCCTATTTTAGGTGCAACCATGAAAAAGGAAAAAAATCATTGATGTGAATAATGTGAGAAAACTTTTATATAGCAAATGGGTCAACACCTAATTATTATACGTGGTTTGTATGGAGAATATTTTATTAATTTACTTAGTAGTATTACTGATGTAGTTATAGCAGTACTATCAGCATCACTGATACACCCCATCTCAACATTTCAAGAAAATATTGGTGAAAATCGAACTTCAAAAGGATACAAATTTTTCTAATTTTGCGTGATGCTGCAAAAAATCTGGAACATGATTCATGATCGTAGTAGAAAAGGACAAAAGGTCATTCACCATTATTGTTGGCAACTACGATTAATGAAAATAGAAATAATGTATACAGTAATTTTACGACCGAGACTTGTGTAGACTCAGTTGCTAAAATGATAAAAAGATGAGAAATTACTCAGATTAGCACTAATTCATCCAGTTATTACTAGATTAATACCCCAAAAAAAAAATTTACTAGAATAGCATATATATTTAAGTGAAAATTCCTCAGACTAACCTTTAAGGTTAATGTATTGACAAACTTAGCCTAACATATTCATCAGCTTACTAGACTAACTTTAGAAAGTTGGTGTTATACCATTTTGTCCAAATAATCAATATTATTACCTGATTGCCATTGTAATTTTAAAAAAAACTTCAAATTATATACATACGTATATACACATATATACACGTATATACACAAACATTTTCCTAATTCTAAAATTAGAAATTACAAAACAAAAAAAAACTGTAAACCCTAATCCGGCGGCGACGATATAGGCGATTCGGCGACGTTATAGGCGATTTAGGGTTTTCGGCGGCGAAGAAGGCGATTTTGGCAGCGACGAAAGGTTTTTCGGCCACTCATCTGGTAAGTGTTTCACATCTGGGTTCATTTCTCGTCTCGAACAAGTTTTTGTCTTGGGTTTTCGGGGTTATGTCGAAAACTGTCTACGCCTTTAGTCGCGACGGTTGTGTTTGGGTGTCAACGGTGGTTTCACGCTAACGGCGGAAGAGAAACCATCTGTTCACATGATTTTACTCAGAAATCGTAACCCTTTTCTTATTTTTTTCAGGGAAGTATTATTATCGGCGGTTTCCGTCTTTGGAGAACGGTTTCCAGAGACCCTACACGATTTCCGGCGAGTAATTTCTGGTCGCAGTGGTTCGGTTCTAATTTTTTTTTGGTAGACTTTTCAGTAGTTGTTGCATTTGGTCGATTTGTATATGTGAGGTAGATTTGTTTTCTATGTGAGGTAGATTTGTTTTCGTTTCATTGTCTTGTTTGAATAATCAAAGTATTGTTGGTAGAGTTATTGTTGAGATTGTATTGGTAGATTTATGTATTGTTGGTTGATTTATTCCATGTGTGGTAGACTTTTGGTCGTATTTGGTAGAGTTATATACTATAGTTGCTCCCGGGTTTGGTAGATTTTATATTATAGTGCTTTCGAGTTTGGTAGACTTGTTCATGGTAGATTTGTTTTCATATGTGGTGAGTAATTTGTGTTTGTAATGATTGTGGGTTTAAAATTGCGTTTGGTAGACTTACGAATTCTATATTTGCGTTCTCTCTTTGTGTGTGGTAGATTTATGTATTTATTTGGTAGATTTGTGTTGTATATTTTCTTTTCTTTTATTTGTGGTAGATTTGTGTTCGTTTTGGTAGATTTGTTAATGTTTTGTGGTAGGTATTCTATAGTTGTTGTCGAGTTTGGTAGGCATGTGTTTGTTCATGGTAGATTTGTTTTGATGTGTGGTAGATTTGTAAGATTTTAATGTTTTTATTTGTTTGCAGACATGGCTTCAGCTAGCGGCTCAAAGGATTATCCCCAAAGATGTACCCGGAAGGCAAATCTCCTTTGCTGAAGAAGAGTTG